TCAGCTGGAGTCCAATCGACACTTTCAAACACGGTAAGTTGAACTGTCAAACACACCACCGGTGAAATCTGCAGCATCCCTAATGCAGAGATGTTCTTCATGTTTCTCGGCTTGCACGGTCAAGTAATTAAGGATAAAACGAACATGAAGAAACAAACTGGTGCGGAGGGAAATATAATCTTTAAATCATTACGCAACCCCTATGCATTTCGTGTGCCGCTTCGTCAGGGGGAATCTAAAGAAATAATAAAAAGGACATATCTGATAGATAAGGTCTGGATTTTTTTTAGTGTACAATTTAACAAAACATTTAAATTGTGTTTCCTTTGTAAATAAGTAATATGTAGTTCTAGGAGGGAGGCCCGTTGCAGCCCAAAATGCAACAAGTTCGAGAAGAAGAGGGCCTGGGTTAGTGTGGTGTCGTGGAGGAGCTGTGGCCCCCCCTCCTGCAGCCTCGGCCGAGTGTGAGGTGGCCTGCAGCCCCTGACACACCTGGAGCCATGGAGGAGTGCGGGGCCGGGTGTGTGCTGGCCCCCGCTGGGAGCCAGAGGCACTGTGGGACAGAAGTGCACCCAGAGGCTGCACCATCGCCAGAGCCAGCCCACAGTCCCTGACCAACGTGGAGTGAGGGAGGGGTGGAAGAGCGCGGGTCCGGGTAAAGCAGCAGCGGCCGGTATCAGGGCAGCAGGCGGCGCTCTGTGGAGGCAGGAAGAGCCACCAGACCAGGGGAGAAGGAGGCGAGAAGGCAGGTCACCGGGTGAGCAAGCCCTTTCGGCTGCGGGAGCCCGCGCCACCTCCGTCGCCTTGCAGCTTACTGAGGCGGAAAGGCTGGGCGGCAGTTCTGTAAGAGGGTGGGTGGGACATTGACAACACATGGACATGCAGGCACTAATGGATGGCGAGACGTTGTGATTGACAGGTCTCCTGGCCAAAGCCTGTAGGAGCGTGTTACAGGAGTCACACGAAATGAGCTTTATATATAAGAGAGATATTATCATCATCATTATTAATTAAATTTATGAATTGCCCCATCCCTACTATCATAGGGCTCTGGGCGATGTATCAAAAACAGTCACCAAATAAAACATTAAATTACATTTGAAAATGGATGGCGAGTAGTGACCCTTAGAATGAATTATTCCTCTATTGCAGACTGCCGGCCGTTTCGTGGGCGGGGTGAAGAGGTTGAAATGAGCATGGAAAACTGAGGGGCATGCCATCCAAGGTGAAAATCGTTCCTGTCCTTAACCAAAAGACATTGGAACCTGTCTCTGTAGCTGTGGACTTTTCTATTAGATATATATTGTTCTTTAGGTTTTTGTACTATAGTGAATAAGATACACTAGGGTCTCTATTGTATTTAAGGATATCATTTAAATCAATATATGGAGACATAATAGCATATTAGCAGGGGTCATTTCCTGCAGGAGCGGAGCTCTGGCAGTAAAGAGCCCAGGGGGCGGGCACATGCAACAAGCCCCACCCCCTTGCTCCCAGCAGCCCTCAGTCAGAGCAAGAAGCAGCCACGTAAGTTGCAGAGCTCCCCCCGGCCCCCCAGTCCAAAACAGTCCAGTGGCACCTTTAAGACTAAGGTTTATTCAGGTACAAGCTCTCCCTCCTCTGTGAGGACAGATCTGCATGTCTCCCCCCCCCCATAGCTAGCAATCCAGAACGGTCCAGTGGAGCCCGAGCGTTGGGTGTTGCCTTCTGACACACTTCCGGTGATGTCAGGGGTGTGGCATATGCAAATAAGTTATGCTAATGGGTTATGCTAATGAGCTCCTGCACCTCTTTTTCTACTAAATGACCCCTGCATATTAAGTATTCTGTGTTTTGTTTTAACACGGTGTTCCTCTACGTTTGCTCAACCTTGCCGTGTTTCCCGTGTGTTTGTTGCTAGTCATCAGCCAAAAGCCTGGCAGAACAGCTCTGCCTTGCAGGCCCTGCGGAATTGCATAAGGTCCTGCAGGACCCTAATGGAATTTGGCAGAGAGTTCCACCAGGTTGGGCCAGGACCTAAAACACCCTGGCCCTGATCTAGGATAGCCGGATATCCTTAGGGCTGGGGATCACCGGCATGTTGTTATCCAAGGAGCACAATGCCCTTCTGGGGACGTAACAGAGGAGATGGTCCCATATATGCTATTCTTGGTTTGGTTTTCTTAATATCGACAACTAATTATGAATTGTACTCTGTACATAAGAACATAAGAGAAGCCAATGGCCCATCCGGTCCAACACTCTGTCACACAGTGGCCAAAAATACCAGGTGCCATCAGGACGTCCAGCAGTGGGGCCAGGACACTAGAAGCCCTCCCACTGTTGCCACCCCCTCCGAGCACCAAGAATACAGAGCATCACTTGCCCCAACCAAGAGTTCCTATCTATACCTTGTGGCTAATAGCCACTGATGGACCTCTGCTCCATATGTTTATCCAATTCCCTCTTGAAGCCATCCACGCTAGTAGCCGCCGCCACCTCCTGTGGCAGTGAATTCCACCTGTTAATCACTCTTTGGGTGAAGAAGGACTTCCTTTTATCCGTTCTAACCCGACCGCTCAGCAATTTCATGGAGTGCCCACGAGTTCTTGCATGGTGAGAAAGGGAGAAAAGTACTTCTTTCTCTACCTGCTCTTTCTGATACATCCTCTATGAAATTGTCCTTTTTAAAATTATGTATCAAATATGTCCTTTTATTATTTCATTGGGTTCCCCACAGTGAAGCTTCACGCAAAACGTGTAGGGGTTGCATAATTATTAAAGCATCTATTTCCCCCTGCACCAATTTGTTTCTTCATCTTCGTTTTACCTTGGTGCAGCCGTCTTTTTCTTTACAAGTAGCAGAATAGTCTAGGTCCATTGTCAGGTGGACCAGAGGAAAATAAAGTCTAGGTTTGCAACATTTCCCATACTATTCATATTCGTGAACTTGGAAACGGCCTGGTGCCGCCGAACTAAAGCAAAATCCCGCCTATGTTTACAAGCGTTTATAAAGCATGCTTCTCTGTACTACAGAGCAGTTTTTTGGCTCACCGAAATGCCTTTTTAACTAAACAGTGAAAAGGCATCTCGGCGACAATCCAAAAGAACCTTCCTGCATTTTCTGAATACCGAAGGACATGGTTAACGGAGTGAAACAATGGCATCCGACTCAAAAGGAGCTAGTTCTTAATCCTTATCCTCAAACAGAACACAACGGTTGACTTGCTTTCAAAGCGCATCGTGGGACTGGGGGCGGGGTACAGGGAAGGGAGGACAGAATGAAAGCGTCAAAGGCTTTTGTGCGGGTGTGCGGTTGTGTCAATGAATGACAACGAACCCATTTTCCTTTTTGCTGTGCTCACTGGGATGCAGCTTTTGGCACGGACATGCGAGCTCCCAGCCTATGCCTGATTGCTCATGCGTGTGTCCTGCCAAAATGGCAGTCCTATAACTGACAGCACCGTGGCATTCCTCGTGTCGAGCAATTTGTGTCACTGATGTCTTACACAAACCAGGCTTAGGCAAAACATATCTGCACTCGTTAATATCGTATTTGACCAGCAGAGCAAGGAGCGAACGCGAATATTGTTTTCACTCATCCGGACAAGCTGGTTGATCACCCAACGGCCAAAGCTCTTACCGTCATTACTTGAAGTGTTCTCTGTATCACACGGGTTTTCCGGTTGCACTCGCTCCGCGGCCTGCTTTTCTTTCCCTTGTTGCTGTGTTCCTTCGGAAATGACAAAAAGGGAGGGGGAAAGAAACCATCATGCATGGACTCGGTTGAATGCCTAATTCACAGATTCCGTGTGTCCGTTATTTTCCCGACACCATCCTCAGCTTTGAAATTGTGCGGATGGGATGGAGGCAGCCATTATTGGAAAATTGGAGGAATCGAGTCCAGTGACATCTTAGAGAACAAGATTTTGGAAGGGTGTAAGTAAGGATGCCGGCCTCCAGGTGGGACCTGGGGATCGCCCAGAATTAAAGCCCATCTCCAGACTACAGAGATCAGTTCTCTTGGAGAAAATGCTTTGGAAGGCAGACTCTATGGCATGCTCTTTGGAGGGTAGATTCAATAGTACCTCTCCGAGGTTCCTCCTCTTCCCCAACCCTGCCCTCCCCAGGCTCCAACTCCATATCTCCCAGAATTTCCCAACCTGGAGCTGGCAACCCTACCCCTCTGTCCCCTATCAGTGACCTGGTAACCCTAGGTATAAACTTTGACTCTTTGAGGTCCTTTCCGCACTAGACCTTAAATCCTGGTTCAACCTGGTTCAACCTGGTTCAACCTGGTTCAACCTGGTTCAACCTGGTTCAACATAGTTCAACATGGTTCAACCCTGTCCCCGAACTTACATTCTACACTGCACGCGAGTTCACCCCGGTAATTATCTTGGGGTATTTTTTGTTTCCACATTACACTGAGGTCACCCCGGTTTTGCCCCACACTTGCCACGGGAAAAACGGATGCTGTTATTACCAGGGATAAACGCAAGGTATTGTGTCACTAGTTAAACTCTGATAAAATCAGGGATGAGATCCAAGTGCAGAAAGGACCTAAAACCAGGGGTCATTTCCTGCGGGAGCGCACAGAAGCGGAGCTCCGGCAGTAAGGCGCCCAGGGGGCGGGCACATGCGACAAGCCCCGTCCCCTGCTCCCAGC